TATTTCATTCAGCATAGAGAGGGTGCATGCAGCTCCTACTGATATTCCTAAACATACAGAAAACAGTTATGTACAGCATAGTTTATAATGCATTTTTCAATCTGTCTATCTACATATCTATCCATCTTTGTATTTATCATGTACCTTCCCATCCCATCCCTCCATACATCCTAGTGAAATTGGATCCTGACTATGCTTAATTTCACAGCAAGTCCAGCACAGGACGAAATTTCTTTTTACTTTATATTGATTTAGTGCAACCTATCTTTTTTTCCTTAATGTTCCTAATTCCGGATAACCTGAGCCATCTTCCTGGGATTGGGAGAGAGATTTTGGTGGGCTTTTAATGTCATTTAATCTTGTGAGTGTAATCATAACGGAACTACTTTTTAATGGTGTGTGTGTGTGTGTGTCTTCTTTTCCTTATTATGGATTATTCTGGGATAAAGAAGAAGGAAGGTCCAGCGTACTTAAAATGTTATGTTCTGACTGCAATCTATTCTCAAATTTGTGTGGGCAATATATTTCTAGTCAATGCATGTGGTTTTACAGTATTAAGCTTCTGGTGGTCCGCTTTTATCTTTAATTACTGTAGATTGTAAATTTACATTTAATAAAGGATTTAGGTCTTGTTACCCCACAGAGATAAACATATATGCCAAGCAGGGTTGAGTTTTTATGTTACCATGTTTTGTAGGACCATGGACAACGTTCAGTTTGTGGGCCTTTTCTAGGCAACTAGGAAGTCAATATTTTCCAAGTGGTAAAATTGGCATTAACACATTTGATCTTGTCTCCCACTATCCTCCCCGCATTGCTTTCCCAATCCTATTAACAGAGACACAGTAATATATACAAAAACTTGTCACTGTAATTACAAAGACATGCACAGCATAAACTTGCATGGGATTATGAAATTTAAACTAAATATAAAAGGGACACTATAGTCATTAGAACAACTATAGCTTATTGTTGTAGTTCTGGTGAGTATATAGTCTGTCCCTGCAGGCTTTTTAATATAAACACTGCCTTTACAGCCTAGTAACACTACCAGAGGCCACAGACACCCCTCCTCAGCACTGGCATTCAGCTTCTCCACAGTCTTTATGGAGATACTGAACTTTCCTCATAGAGATACATTGATTCAATGCATCTCTATGAAGAGTTTCTGAATGGCCAGGGTGGCGTTTGGCATCGCCACTTATGGGGAAGCATTGGATTGGCGGAGATCATCAATTCTGATTAGGTCAGCCAAGGAGGTGGATCCGTGGCTGGGCCAGTGTCGGCAGCCGGCCCACGGAGCACTGGAAAAAAAGGTACCTTTTCTTACCTTTTAAGAGCAAAGAGGGGGTAAGCCACCTAAATGGTGGTTTTAACACTATAGGTTCAGGAATACACTTTTGTGTTAGTGACCCTATAGTGTTCCTTTCAATTCAGTTCAATAATCAAGGCTATTAGAAAATCACAATCAAAATCATTAATTCTAAATCATTTAATGTCTAGTTTTGCTTGTGTGAGCTAAGACACAGACCAAAGGCCTGGAGGGTAGTGTGAGACTTAGTTTAGTGGTAAGTTTATCGGTGAATTTTGTGGATTATTATTACTATATGCATGTACTTAATTGTGTTCTTGTGTTGTAACTTGTGTTTTAAAGGGATCATGAAAGAGGTTAGTTGTGCTATTAATAGGACACTCCAAACCTCTAAAACACTTTAGTTTGCTGAAGTGCTTTTTTATGTGTGAAAAGTGTGTTTTTGTGTTTTTTTCTTATAGAAATTGGCACTTTTATAAATTTACGTAACTAAATGCATGCATTTTTTCATTAGGGAAAATATCTACAAAACAGTGATTTTTCCATTTTATTTTTGGGTATTTGGGCAGGGAAGTGTCTAACATATTAAAAATATTTACTGCACATGTGTAATCTTTGATTTCCAGCTGATTTTACCAGGTGTATCAACTAATTAAATTATCTAAAGAATATGCAGGTTTTACATATTACATGTGAATAAAAACCATTTGCTCTTAATGGAAATGAAAAAAATAAATAAAAAATCATGGGTCTCAGACACAACCACTATAAATAGTTATTTATAAATATTGTTTTGTTGAGTGTAGCAAAAACAACTTTATTGGTGGCAACGGAAGAAAAACAGTTGTTCTACCTTTTTATGGTCTAATTGAATTGGGTTCTGAATTTGTAAAAATGCTAGCACAGGTTGGTGTTCTCTTAAATATTCCTGTCAACCCTACCTTTTTACATTCCAATACCTTTGGCACTTGAATTGCTATAGACTACAATATCCCGTCATATTCCCAGGAATTGGTGAGCCAGAGACCAAAGTTATATATATATATTGAACTTACCTTCATTTGTATACTTCACCAAAAAAAGGTCAGCAATCCTCCCAACGTAAATAAAAACTGGGTAACAAACACCTATTTGCTTCATTTGAATACCTAAAACAGTCACAAATAATCAGGTCAACACGAAAATGTTTACATACAAATGTGATTGTTTTCTTAAATAGGTTTCTTTTGGAGAGATTGTAAAAAAAAAATCAAAAAAATCTTTAAAAAGCATTAACAATAAGTTTAGCAGTAGTGTGCAAAGACTGCTAAGACATATAAAAAGGGAACACAATGTAATTGTACCTCTATAAATAATGAATATGCAGTCAAATATCTGCAACAATTTTCAGAAAGGAGATTATGGAAGTGGAAAAAGTGGACATTGCACATTGTTGCACTATAAAACGAATTAAAAAGCTAGAAAATGGGTTATTGTATACAGTGGTCTATTGCATGTGAAAGGTATAGGAGATTGATTCTGTAATTTATTTATTTTGTTTTAAACCAATCATAGGAGTGACTTATGGGCACTTTTAGATGAATCAGGGTTATTTTTTTATTTTTTATTTTTTTTTAAGAAAGAAAAGAAACCGTTATTACCAGTATTTTGACAAATGTATTCTAGAGTTTCAAGATTTACAACAAAAAATATTAAACATTTGAGAAGTACTCTGTCAGACATTCAGAAATCAACAATATTACCTGTATTTTGTATTTATTTTTTTCCCCTAATTTTTAAAATGTATTTTTAAAGGAATTTACAATAAACAAAGGCAATCTTTTGAGACTTTAGGAATGAGGATTTACCCCACAGCAGGAAGAGAGTCATTGACAATAAATTAAAGAAGTCACCAACTACAGAGGTTATGCGGCTCAAATCGTTTGATGCATTTAAAATGAACTATATGCATTTTGCAAAGTAGATTAGCAATTTAAAATTCTTTTTTTTTTTTTAACTGATTATTAAAACCCTCTGATAGTGGCACAAGATCACTTTATTACTAAATAATACTATTTTTAGCCGTTGTATTATGCAAAATATGCCAGGGAGTAAAATACCCACCAATGCTAGTATTTCCCACAACAATTGGGGCTTTTGGATACTGGGCCTTCAACTCCAGAAGTTCCTCCAAAGTGATCGGAGCAATCCACTTTATTTTTTCACCTTGAAAAACCATTGTCTGTGGTTTGTTTTTTCCAGCCATTAGCTATAAAGCAAAAGCACATGCTGTTTATACATCGGTTTCATTTTTACAGGGAAGCAACACAAATTTGTATGTCTATTATCGGTCTAATAGAGGCAGTACAAAAATAAGCTATTGCGTTTTGTTTTTTTAAATTGACTAGGATGGTCAGATGGTTACATATAAAATGTTTGTTTATTAATTTAGATTTTAATCGGCTCCTATTGAACATAGTGATTGGAAACTTACAGTCAGTTCAGGAGGAAATATTAGCTCTTGTGATGGATCAAGAGGCAGAAACTCCTCTTTATTAAATAATGTTGAGATCTAAAAAACAAGAACATTGGAAATTATTGAACTTATTAAAATGTCGATAAATTAAATATGAACTTTTCTGTGAAATTTTGTTTTCATAATCCATGAACATTGAATAAAAATCAGTCAGTCCCTTAATTAAATTACGAAGCAAATAAGCACACAGTTATGCTATGTTTGTTATTAAATGATCCATATTTTTATTGTGTGGTTATTTTGGATTTGTTAGCTCCTTTTTGATGTTTTTCCATAAGAGGTCCAATCAGGCAGCAGCAGATAAATGTTTTTTTGTTTTTTTTGGGTGGAGGCTACTGTGATCTATCCGGACTAAGCAAGGATTGCTCATGACACCACCCAACTGGCCAGATAATATTTATTCCTGTGGTTTCTGGTTTGATTCCTATCTGTTATGGCACACTGTTCCCAGTGGACCTGGGGTCCTGGATGGGCCTTCTCCCAACTCGTTTACCTCACTTGAACTATTTCAAGTTATGAAAAACATGTAAATACCAGCAAAAAAAAAAAAAACTCACTATAAACCCTGCCCAGGGGTCCGAGCAAAGGCTTTCCCTGTGGACTAATCTATCACATTCACACACTTAAAGGAACACTATTGTGTTAGGAATAAAAGAACGTGTATTCCCAACATCATAGTGTCCATCTTCCACACCTGTCGACCACTGCATTTCACCATGTAATATTGTTATTTCTTTTTACTTTAGTTTTATATCAAAACACTTTTTCTTCCTGGACCTTACCATACTGCTGCTTGCCTCCTGATCTTCATATCCTTGGTGGGAATAAATACCACCTATGCTACTAGGACTGGACAAACCGTATTTGCTCTTTTCCATGTAAGTAAATATTTATCTATCTGTTTTTACACTTCCATTGTAGAGTATGCACTATATTGTTTTGTTCCCTTTTATACCTAGACAGAGAGGACTAGCACCACCCACGTATTTCAGAGTGGAGATCATACCACTCCATGCTATACCCTAGGAGCCACTGCTATGCTCCAGAACATGTGAGTGTGCATCTATATACTTGCTTACCTGTGGCATCTTACATTTTAAATACTACACTAGATTATTTTTTTCTGTTCTCCTTTTATGCATACCCTACAGCAGGGCTATCCAACCTGCGGCACCCCAGATGTTGCTGAACTACAACTCCCATGATTCCCTGCCCACCTGTTTCGTTGAAAGAATCATGGGAGTTGTAGTTCAGCAACATCTGGGGGGCCGCAAGTTGGACAGCCCTGCCCTACAGGGAATAACTACCAGAAACACAAGAGCGACACTACATCATATTCTTTATTTTCTCACCATTAAAAGACTTACTATACCACCATTTCTCTTTTTTATTTTTTTTTAATGCTCGGTCATTTCATAAACTTTTAAGAACATACCAGGCGCTGCACCTGCTGCTCAAGCTTATGCTTTCTTATTAGTCGGTAGCACAAGGGGGTGAGCTGCTGGAACTCTCAAACAGCATTAAAATATTAAAAAAACAGTCTAACATTGAATTGAAGGATGGCGCCAAGGGACTCCAAACTCTGTAACCACTTAAATGAAAGTCCCTTTAACTCTTGTTCTGGGCTGGCTAATGACTCTGCTGGATGTGGAGTTATGCCTGCTGCAGCAATTTGCTCTGTAAGTGCAGTGTTTCAAACACTACATACTCCAAGCGCCATGATTATGTTATTTAGAAACTCAGTCAAGTATTAGCTTGTTACGGTGCAAACAAAACCTAAATTGTTACAAGAACATGTCAAATTCAGAATGTTCAGAAAAGAAGGGGGTCATACTGCAGAAAAAAAATAAATCAATTACATGTCATGTTACCGTAATCCTCTGTAAACAGAAAATTATTTTGGATTATTTATACAGTAAATTCACTGTTCTGTGCATACATGGTGGTTTCACATTACAGGCCAGCTTCAGAGAAAGCTTATTATTTTGATAACCAGACATGTGAAAGCTACTAATAGACTGGTTGCATGACAATTGTCTAACGGAATTCTGGATTAAAAAAATAAAAATAAAATACAATTCTATCTCTTGGATGCTCTCGGCAACCGGTACCGGTACTGGTAGCCACCCAAGCTCTTTCATGACTGGGGCTATATTTTCTCCTGTTAATCTTTGCAGTGCACATTTAAAATTGTTCTGCAATTTATTTCACAGTTTGGGATCAGAGTTTCCACACATGTCACTTGAATGAAACATATGGAGGATGCTGCATACTAGTCAAGTGGCTACCATCCATTTTTGGACTATGGCACACTGCTTTTATGCAATATTTTCAAAGGCACATCAATTTTTGTTTAGATTTTCATCAGTGTATTAGTAACATTATATTTTGTTGCATCCATACTTGGTGTGCTTCTAGCTAAAATTACTTAGATTGCTTGCCAAATAGAAACCCCAATTTTAATGGAGTTAAAAAAAACAAAACAAAAGACCAACACGTACCTAAGGGCCACATGCAGCCTAAATCAATGATTCTGTACACTTCTTTGAGGTGACTTAAGGCGTACCAGTGTGCCACTGTGTTACATAGTTTTCCATTGCTTTAATTAACTATAGTTTATTTATTTATAAACGTCTGCCAAGGAACACAACAGTAGGATAACTTACTTGATTTTCCACAGGACCATTTTTGATAGGGCCATTGCATTTTTCCTGGCGTTGACAGCAATTTACCTCCTTGATGAATAGAAAAATAAAATTCATCAGAATAAAACAATTTGTAAATATATTTGCCATCAAATACCACACTGAACAAATAGAATAAACCAATCAATAATTTCCCATTTACATTAGCTCAGAGAAGTTCAACTACTTTAATATATTCATGCACATAGTGATATTGATCAAGGAGAAACAGTTACTGATTTGGGACAGATTACATGGTAATTGCATGCTTCTGTTTGTCTCCGGTAGGTCATGCTCATGATTATGGTTTGAGTAAAAAAGCATGTTCAAATATAGGGTGCTTTTTGGCTGTTTACTGTACATCCTTTGTATGCCCTAAGAGTGTATTTGATGAGTGCATGCCATTCAACATTTACACCCCTTAACACATTACACACAGAAATATACAGATAGTAGTTGCAATCCGGGACATCCATGTTCCAGTGAGCCCCGATGTTAGACACCCTGCATGGTGGCAGTAAACCACACATTGCACGGAGTACTGCATCCATTGTACGGTACAGGGTTTTAAATATGGACTGCCGTGGCAGATCATATACATTACATACTGTATATTTTGGTTGGAGGGTGTGCTTGAAGACACATTACATGTAAATTGACCCCGGTCCATAGTGTGCTACACACATTTTAAATTTTTCAACAGACTAAAAAGAGCAGTATACTCTGTTCCATTCATGGTTCACAGGTAATCCCTGTTCACAAGATCTGTAAACTCATGAAGCCTGCCTCAAAGCACACTCATGGTTTGGCATGCATTTTTTAAAGACCTTTTAATCACTAAGAATTTGGCTTAAGGATAGCGTTGTACTGGTCATCCATGGATCAGCATGAAACATAATGCAGTGAGATCAGAACCCATTGCCTAGAGAGATCCAATGACTCCCTGTATTCAATGGGTCACATGGTAGCATGCTTCATTGTTCTTGGATTCTTGTGCACCATGTCTATCTGCAACCATAAGCAAAAATGGCTATTCACTTGCTTTATTGTACTATTTATAATGATTACAGCAAGTCTGATTGCCTGGCTGCTAAAACTATTTACCTCCAAGAGGCCGCACAAAGTGGGATCAGCTCTTAATGGAGTTTCTGTTATAGGTGAGACATATATATTAGGGATATGCATGGGCAAAAATTTGGTTTGGTTCGGGACTTCCCGAACCCTTACCTAACCCCTAGGTTAGGGGTAGGTTTAGGGTTAGAGTTAGATTCCTGTCATCATTCCCTTAATTTTTCCTCCCTCTCCTGTTTTGCCACTTTTCAGAAATCTGAAGCATTTCACTAGTTTGAAAAAACAGCACTTTAGAAGGGATATGATAACATTATACAAATATATTCGGGACCAGTACAAACCATTATCTGGAAATCTATTCATAAACAGGGCTATACGTAGGACTCAAGGTCACACATTTAGGCTTGAAGAAAGGAGATTTCATCTAAGGCAAAGAAAGGCTTTTTTTACAGTAAGAACTATAAGGATATTGAATTCTCTGCCTGAAGAGGTGGTTTTGTCAGAGTCATTACAGATGTTTAAACTGCAATTGGATAAATACTTGCAAAAACATAACATACAGGAATATAATGTCGAATTAGTTGGGTAATAGAGGCTTGATCCAAGGAGACATCTGACTGCTATTCTGGGGTCAAGAAGGAATTTTTGTTGCTTGTTTGTTACAAAATTGTTTTTTTTTGCCTTCTTTTGGCTCAACAGCACAAACATATGTGAGAAAGGCTGAACTTGATTGACGCAAGTCTCTTTTCAGCTATGTAACTATGTAAACTTCCGAAATTCGGCGGTTCGGTTCAGCACTTCGGACATTCAGAAGCAATTTAAATTCAGACTGAAACGAATTGCACATGTCTAATATATTCTATCATTGTGCACATGGACTCAATCAGAACAGGGAGTTATAAATATTAAGTATATTCTGATACATTTGCCTGCTGAATGAATTGATGGGATACCCATCAGAATACCATGGTTAACTCATGAGTAATTTGTATATATATATATATATATATATATATATATATATATATATATATATATATATATATATATATATATATATACATACATACACACACATATACACACACACATTTTATATTTCCCATATCTAACGACTGGGATCTTACCTTACAGAAGGTCTTGCAGCTTTCAACAATTGGCCTATATCCAGTACAACGGCACAAGTTTCCTGTTAAAAAAAAAATATATGATAAAGCATGGCCCTAGCTGGGGGAGATCTTGTGAATGGAGGACATTTTTGTACAATCTCAGTAATAGTATATACATATATTGGAATTTAGAGGACCATACCTCCTAGAGCTTCATATATCTGGTCCATGGTTGGCTCCGGGTGATTCCTCAATAATGCATATATGGACATCACTATTCCAGGGCTACAGAACCCACACTGAGACCCATGAGCTTTTGCTATTCTTTCCTATGATGAAGATATTGTTAATTTACTAAAATATTTTGGATGTTTGATTTGAGTATCTGCTTATTAATTTTCATTCAGAGGTAACATGAAACTAAAGTTTTTATCTCCTGCTCTGTAAATTGAACTGTATCTGTCACCGGTTTGGGTGGAAGGGCTCAGGATGCAGAGATGGAGGTGAGCGCAGTGACCAAATTAACAGGTCTTTTATTTGTAAGGTAATTGCAGGTTTCATATGCAGAAAATAAAAGAAACAGTAAAGTAATTATTGCAGTGTGCAAATAAATGTCTCATTAAAGAAAATTGAGTCCTTTACCAGAGTTACTTCACTAGGTAAGGCAGTCCAAAGGAGAATCAGTATTGCAAGGGTTAATCCAATACAAAGTCAAATATGCAAAAGACCTTTTAAAGGGGAATCACCATGAAACAGGATACACAGGATACACAGAAAGGTTTTCCATAAACAAAAAGGTAGGCAAAATGCCTTAGGAGATTATGTTTTTTTCACTCCTAGGGATGAACAAAACAACTGAGCACAGAACCAAGGTGTTCTGTGCTTTTATAGGGTAAAGGGAATAAGGGCCCTCCCATGAGGAGGAGTCTAAGGACCTATATAAGGAGACAGGGTAACCAGTGGTCAGGTGAGACAAATCCCCTATGTGGGTGGGACGCTATATCCTTTTGTATACCCACTGACCTCTACACTGCTTTCAGGTAACTCACACTAGGGTACACAGGATTCTAAGAGTTTAAATAGAATTCTGGAGCAGCGTGGGGGTCATGGAACACGTCACCAGGGCCGGCGCTACCTGTAAGGCGGACTAGGCAGCCACCTAGGGCGCCCCTTGGGAAGGGGCGCCGCCAGGAGCGCCGGCCCCGCTCATCCTGCAGCCGCCCGAGCGCTCTGTAAAGAGCCTCGGGGGGCTGCATCTTTTCCCGGGCGGTGCGTCCATGAGGGCGGACCGCACCGCCCGGGCGCAGCCTGAGGAGAGGGGCTGACAGGAGGGAAGTGCTGAGCGCTCCCTCCTGTCAGCTTCCTCTGTTGTAGCGTGGCCGAGCCCAGTATAGCCGGCGGG